GCACACACACAGCCCTTCTATTCTCCCATGACTGATCTCTCCAAGGAGTGCATCTACCTAATGTAAATGTTCTAAACTGAAAATCTTGATGGAAGCAGACTGACACATCTTCTTCCCACAGAGCAGCTAACGGGTTCGAGCCACCAACCTTTCAGTTAGCAACCGAGCACTTAACCATTGCACCACCAGGGTTCCTTAAATTAAACAAGAGTTTAGCTTAATCAGTAAAGAATGTCTGCCTTGAGTGTTTGCTTTTTTTTTTTAAGAAGTATCTATGCAGGATCAAATTGACAACAGCAACTGGAAAAGTTACATGGGAAGCTTGGGGCAGTGGGTTTGTGTTAATGGGTGAAGAATGATTCTGAAAAAAAGGGTGAGAATGGTTGCACACCTTGAAGAATGTAATTAATGTCAATAAATTGTAGATGTAGAAATTGTTAAAGTGGTGTATATTCTGCCATTTATATTTTCAACAATAACAACAACACAATCGTTAAAAAAAAAGAAAGAAAATGGTCCCATGGCAGAAACCAGGCCTCCTCACACAGCACGGCCCAACTCTGAGCACAATCCTCCCCCACAGGCAACCCCCCCCTCCATGACACGCCCTTCTGTTCTCCAAACAGCAGCCAGAGGAGCCTCAAAACCACATCCACCTCCACATACCTTCCAATAGCTTCCTGACCCTCCTAAACAAAATCCAGATTCCTTACCATCTTTCTCTACTCTGACCTTCCTGGGTCTCTCTCCTCATCTCTGTCATCTTTCCTGGTTTGCCAAAGGATACTTTTCTTTATCACTCAACTGAAAGCATTATCTACCTAAGAGCGTGGGTGGTGCAAAAGGTTTTTTGATTGATCATCTGCTAACCTAAAGGTTGGTGGTTCAAACCCAGCAAGCGGCCCTGTGGAAGAAAGGCTTGGCTATCTGTTTCAGTAGAGATTATAGCCAAGAAAACTCCTCGGAGCAGTACTATTCTGTTACATGCTGTCATCATGAGTCGAGTCGACTCCATAGCTGTTAATAACATCATCTCTCCTTCCAATTCATTGTTATTGAGTTCATTCCGACTTATAGTGGCCCACACTGGGTTTTCAAATCTATAAATCTTTACCAAAGCAGATTACTCCATCTTTGTTCCGCGGAGCGACTGGTGGGTTCGAACCACTAACCTTTTGGTTAGCAGGTTAACCACTACACGACCAGAGCTCTTCATCTCTAGAGTGACATTTATTTGCTTGTACTGTCTAGATCCCTCCCCCTGTAAAATTTAATCTCCATGACAGCTGGGGTTCTAATATGTTTTTATTTCCCACCTTCCCCCCAACCCCGTGCCTAGGAGGGGCAGTACACAGGTGCTGAATGAATGAATGGAAAGAAAGCCAAAGATACGAGAACTGAGGGATATTTGTGCCCTGAAGGCTTCTGTAACATGCTTTCATGCCCTAAAACCAAGTCCCCGAGGCTCGCGCTACAGTCGCCAGCCCAAGCTCGCAGCGCCCATGTCTCGTCCCACGCGCAAGAGGACCCAAGTGACGGTCTCTTCTCACCAGGTCTCTGCGTCCACGTGGGGAACGGGTGGAGCTCGCGGCTGTCACGGCGGCGCCTGACCCCTGCC